TTTTTTTTTTCTGGAACTTGGGGCTTGAATTCAGGCCCTTGTGCTTGCCAGGGAAGCGCTTATTCCACTGAGCCATCTCCCTGGCCCCTAAATACACAATTTAAAAAAAAAGGATATTAGTAACAAAATAAAAGGACATGAGTATGACACTTGACAAATCTCCTTAGGGATAGACATTAATTTGGGGATAAAGTGGTATATGTTTACAGCCCATTTATAAATTATTTCAGAAAAAAAAAATGTGTGTACCTGGGAATGTGCCTTATGATAGAATATTTGCTTTGCATAAGCAAAGCCCTGGGTTTCAATTCCCAGCACCAACACTCCCCCCGAAAAAAAGATGAACATGGAGGGGGAAAATGTCTATCATCTAGTGACATTGTAGCCGTCTTAGTCTGTGTAAGTACAATTCAAGAACCTTGATAACACATTTTTCAGGATCATCCACATTGTTAACGATGCCTGACTATAAATATGGAGTAAAGTGTTAACACCAGTTTTGTTTTGTTTTATCGTCTCTTTCATACAGTGTCTTGCCATTCAGTTCAGGCTGGCCTTATGCTCACTTGGTAGCCCAGGCTGGTCTTAAACTCACAACAATCCTCCTGCCTCAGCCTCCTGATTGCTGGGATTATAGCAGTCCCTCACTATTACATGGTTTAACTTTTGAAGAATCACTGTTTTGCAGGTTTTCAAAAAATATTAATCTAAATTATTTATTGCAGATTTTTTGCCATATCATGAGATTTTGCGGTACTGTATAGTATACATATGTTGTTAAATTACATAGCTTTATGAGTTTAGAGAATGATTAAGAACATTAGAAGTGTTTTTAAAGATGTGGGAAAGGTTTATAAGAGTGTAGGGTTTACACAGCCTTAAAATATATATATATATAAATACTAAAATAAATATAACGTCACTACCTCACTGATTTTCACTTGTCATGGGAGTGTCTGGAACATAACCTCCCCAGTAAGTGAGGGACCCCTGTGTGCCGCCATGCCTAGCTTTGATGCTACTCTAAAATGAAATTTTAAATATTTACTATCGAGAAGAAAGAATGAGATTTTCTTTATCTTGTAAAATATCAATATTAATGCCAAGGTACAAAGCAGATTTCAAAAATAAATAGTATAGTCTATTCCTACTGTCATGAAAAGTGGGCCTGTGAATGCACATGTACAGAAACGTTAGTGCTTATCTTAGGGAGTTAGAGATTATATATTTCTGTAATGTTTAATTTTTATAACAAGTACATACTTATTTTGAGAAACAATTCAAAGTTTTATTGGACTAAGGATGTTACTCAGTGGTAGAGCACTTGCCTAGATGCATGGGACCTAGTTTCAATCCTCAGCATAGTGAAAGCATATTTTTGGTCCAAAAGAAAAATTTTTAAAGCCCTGCCCTTATGCTGATCTCTTTTTCCCCAACATATTGTGATTGCAGCACAGCCCTCAACTCAGCAGTCCCATTATTTCACCAGCTCAATCACCGGCACCAGCTCAGCTATCCACCCTGAAAACCATACGCCCCTCTGGACCACCGCTTTCCATCATGCCCCAGTTTTCTAGACCTTTCATCACTGGGCAGGGTAAGTACATACAGAGCTCGGCACAACTTCAGAGGATTGTAAGACATCCATCCCCAGTCCCGGGGAGTTTAATCTGGATACTACTACCTTTCAGTTTCCCATAGAACTACATTTTCTCATATGTTCTTCCTGATCTTAATGTTTTGTTGCTAATACTATTATTTCAGTATTTATATTCCATTCCTCAACTTTATTCCAGAACTCATTCAACAAACATTTATTGAGGGCATACTGTGCTTCTGGTGTATAAAAATATGGAAAAGTCTTTACCATGAGTCTGTCTGCATGTGAGAAAAACACATGCACACAAATGATTATAAGCTAATAGGGAAAGTCTTCACTTTATTTCCTAGAATTTACCCTAAGGCTAATGAACATAGTTTATCCTATAGAAAAAAAAAAAGCAGCCCAAATGTCCATCAATGGGGAATATAGTAATAGCCATACAAAGACAAGAATACTGTGCAGCTGTTTAAAAATCATGTCTTCGGGGCCAGGGAGATGGCTCAGTAAAATAAGCACTTGCCTAGCAAGAGCAGGGGCCTGAGTTCAATTCCTGGTTCTGCTACCCAAAAAAAAAAAAAAAATTATATCTTCAATCCGGGTGTGGTGGTGTATGTCTGTGATCCCAGCACTCAGGAGGCTGAGACAGGAGGATCATTGTGAGTTTGAGACCAGACTGGGCTATAAAGTGAGCTCAAGGCCACCTGAACTGAAAGTGAGACCCTGTCTCAGAAAGACAAAAAAAGTCTTAAAGACTTATTAAGGGGGCAAATAGTCACAATATGGTTAGTGATATTGAAAAACAAGTTAAATAGACATTTCAGAAGATAAGCAAGAGCCCCAGGAAGAATACTCAGCATTGTTAATCATTAGAAAAACTAAAACCAGAGTGAAGTACCACTTCTGACTCACTGTGATGGCGATAGTCAAAGACTGACAGAAGCAGGTGAAGAAAATCTAAAATTCTAGGGCTGGCCAGATAGCTCAGCAGACTAAAGCACCTGCTTAGGCAGAGTGCAGTGACCAGGGTTCAATCCCCGGAGTGGCCTGCCATCCCCACCCTCGGGGTGTACTAAGAGGGAAATCGAGACTGGGCATTGTGGCACACACCTGTAATCCTAGCACTTGGGAAGCTGAAAACAGGACAATCACTGAGTCCAATCTATGTAGTGAGACCCTGTAGACCCTGTACCAAATACATTAAAAAAAAAAAAAAAAAAAAATTTTAACACATTGATAGTGAAATAATAAAATAATAAAACCACTTTGGGAAAATTTTGGCAGCTTCTTATTAGACAGGTAATCACTTGCCATATGACTTAGCAATACCATTTCGCAGTGAAAGAAAAGTGGAAACATGTCAAGATATGGTTGTGCAAGAAATTGTGTAACAACCTTATTTTATTAGAGCCCAAACTGGACATGGCCTAAATCTATCAAGTGGAGACAGGCTATAAATAACTTATAAATGTAAATTTTCATTTAAAGAGAAATTAAGAATATCTAGAACATAAATATATAGGTTAAAACTATAAAAATATATATGGCAAATGACAGGTCCCGATAGCTTGCTGTGATTGAATTGTAGTTAGTACTCTGCATCGTGCTCACAGCAACATTATATGTGGGAAATTGAGGTCTGAGGGACACAATTATGCAGAGTTCTTGCCGTCCCCTGAAATGTAAATTTTTAATCATCATAAAAGAATGTGAATATCAGCATCTCTAGTGGATAGATAAACATTAGTTCTTTTGGTAGATTTTATGTGAGATGTTAGAATTTAGTATCATAACATTCTTCTGTACTTCCACTTTTTTTATTTCATTTTCATCTGATTTTTTACATTAATTGAGTATATAATTCACATGGTTCAAAGAAACAAGTAGTTCTAAAAGTATACGTAATTGTCCACCAAATTTCCATCCCTCACCTTCATGATAATTATTTCTAGTCTTAATCCTTTCAGAAACTCACTGTACATAGCTCTTTAAAGAATATATACAAATTTTTCATTTAAAAAATAGATCACCTATGTAAGTTTTATTCTGCCAAACCTGTCTCCCCTGCTCATCTTGTTTTTAAGCAATTTAGAAAATTCTGGGAAGTACATTATAACTTGACTCGGCCCGCGAGTCAAGACGTGGAGTAATGACCTGGAGGAGGAACAGGGATGAACAAGACAGGGCAAGAGACACAAGAGACGGAGACAAGACAGGCTTTCTGATCAAGTCTCGTTTATTGAGGAAGTGAGCGGGGTCTAAATAGCTGTCTAGTGGAAGCAGTTGGGTGGGACTAGTTGTGGATTGGTAGTGGAGGTCCAGGACCACAGGAAGATGTCGAGGCAAGCAGGGATTGGTGCTGCAGCACTTCTTGCCCAAATAAGGGAAAATATAACAGGAGCGTTCTATCACCCCCCACAATAACTAAGGAAAGAAAATTGTCCTTTATGCACTTCCAGGAGATGCCAGGTATCCATTACTGGGCCAGCCACTGCAGTACAACCCTCCTGCTGTTATGCATGGACACATTCCAGGCCAACAGGTATGGAAGGCAGTTCTTTGACCTCCTAGTTTTGTCACAAGACATCATATTTCCATTGATGAGTTTGAGGGCACCAAGTTGGCCAGGTCTAAGGTAACATGCTGCCTTGCCAGCTGCTTTCTGTCTGTTAGCACTGGCCCCATCAAGAGCAGATCAAGATCCCCAGGCCTGCCGTGCCAGCCCTGCCCCCAGGGCACACTGAGACAGTGATTGAGACTGGATGTGGTGGCACTCACCTGTAATCCCAGCACTTGGGAGGCTGTAAACAGGAGAATCGCTATAAGTCTGATCTAGTGCACTGTCTTAGCCACATTCCCCTCCATTTCAGCTGCACAAAATGCACTGAAGAAACAAATCAACTCAGTTAACAAGTTTAAG